GGTATTATTGCAGAACACAGAGATACTTGTCTGGGGTTGTTTAATTTTTTTGCTCATTTTCTTACAAATGCAGAGCTATATAGAGGAACCTAAGGCATCTAAAGAGACAGAATAGCAGTACCTTAATGCTCAACCTTCTAGATAAATTTAAGATTACATTATATTGATACACAACGAATAGTATGTACTTGGTTAGAAAAGGAAAGAAATTGCTCCATTGAAACATGTTTATATTTTCAGATGAAGACAAAGCCCTTTTCAAAACTCACTCAGAGTGGGAAATAATGATTTTCTTCTTTTTCCACTCCTTCAATTCCCCCCCTCAAGTTCTTCCCACCCCATGTCGCTTCTTCTCACCCCACCCCGCAACTGTTCAGGTTCCCTCTTTCATTTCTTTTGCCCTTTCATTGTTACTCATACCCTCAGCTAAAATTAAAGCACAGTGCCCTACTCTTTGCAACAGCCATAGTCATGAGTTAGCAACATTAACGTCTACAGAGCAGGGGCGGAATGACCATTTGGAAACTCGGGCAGTACCCGAAGGCCCGGGGTCAGTAGGGGGCCCCATGAGATGCCCCTGGTACCTTTTTCATAGGCTTTTTTGAGTTCGGGCAAGGACACTGGGGCCCCATGATCCCCTATTGCCCGGGGGCCCCATGAGTTGTCAGTCCGCCCCTGCTACAGAGAGATACAGAAAGGATTGCTATCTTTCTCAGTTATGCTTATGACAGATCATTCATATGGGTCGCTTTCCTATTTTCTTAATCTCTCACTACTGCCAAACTGCAGCTCTCATTTATACCTTTTCAGATATGTTGATACCATTATGTGGAATCTGAATGATACTTTGTTTGACAATTGGCCCCGCTTATGTGTGGCTTGTTGGATACTGTACTTCCTAAAAGAGCAATATGGACTAAAAACATAGATTCTTACCTAGGTGGAAACAGCATTGATCCAATGCTGTATCTGACCCCCCCCCCCCCCCACACACACACACACACACACACACACTCTACAGTGAAAACTGAATGGTCAAACAATGCTGAATATTCAAATCTCTCCCTTCCATCTTAGCAGATAGCTATGATTATAAGTCACTGGCTTTCTGCTCTGCCCCTCCAGCACTCATTGGAGTGCTGGGTTGTAGAGGGGGAATAACTGGCTCAGGCTCCTGGCAGATCACCGAGAGGCTGAGCCAGGTACCAGTTCAGGCTTCTGTGTGGATCCCAACCATATGGTCAGGATCTTTTCAGAGCCTGGACCTGCTGAGCGATATCAGCCGACAGTGGACTTTAGCCCACTGTCAGCTGAAAATGGGTTACAGGAGTACAGAACAAGCTGCACTCATGTGATCCCCAACAGAACTATAGCCAAAAATATCTTCTGCCATACTTCTCCTTTATATAAAGAACTTTAAAAAAAGGAAAGAAAAAATATTTAAAATGTGCTATTTTTTTAGTTCTGACCAAAATACATGAAGACATTATAAAGAACCCTATACATTCCATTTAAGACAATTAATCTACATTCCATATTTTCTGTTAACAATCAGTATTTTAGTAGTTCACTTTACTATTCTAGAGGCCACTGAGCAGTAGCATAGAAGAAATATGTGTTTATCCAATATGAGTCAAATAAAAAAAGAGGCACAGCAAATAAATGCACAGTGTTGTTACACTGCCATTTTCTTTCATACATACAGAATCTGGTTAGCAAAGCAAACAGAGATTTGTAATTTTGCATTTGGAAATCAGTATTCAAGGTTTAGCATGGATATACTGTATGCCGCTACACACCATATTAGGAAGCTAAAACTTGAGAAGCCTTTACTGTGAGAAATATTGTATGTAATTTATTGATGCCTATTTCTAAAAAGCCCAGTTTGCTCAGTGCTCAGGATGATCCTAGGAGTCACTGACCCAGAACAAGTATGCAGATTAGGAGTTCCTACTTTATTGCTGCATGTTTTTGTGGGTCAATAACTAAGAAAGTATTGTCAGAGAAAGACAAATAATTAGCCTCTTAGGAAGGGAGTCAACAGTCTGCATGCTTTCTCCCCAGTTTCTATTAAAGTGGTATTAAATGTTCAGATTTTTAAAAAATAACAAACATGCTATACTTACCTGCTCTGTGCAGTGGTTTTGCACAGAGCAGGCCAATTATTTTCTTCTTGGATTCTCTGGCTCCTCCCCCTTGACCAGTGCCCCCAAAAGCAAACCGCTTCTATGGGGGCACTGGTGCTTGGTCACTCTCAAGCCTGGCTCTTTGCATCCATAAGACACCTACAGCCACCCGCTCTCTCCTCATTGGCTCACTGGCTGTGATTGACAGCAGTGGGAGCCAATGGCCAATGACTGTAGCTTTATTTTGGTGGTATTTATTCACCACTGGAATTTTTATTTTTTTTGCCATATAAATGAAAAAGTCCAAATATTTTTGAAAAAACTTGTTTTTCTTATAAAATGTTGCAAATAAATAATATTTCATGATAAATATTGGCCAAAATGTATTCAGTTATCTTCTTAGTAAAAAAATAAATAACCCAAATTAGTTTATAACCAAAAATTATAATTAAAAAAAAAAAAAATTTACATTTTTATTTTAATTTGTTATATTATTATTTATTTATTTATTTATTTGTACATACTGTCACCCTAGCAGTAGAGTGTCATCATGGTGACACTGTACTACTTGAGGGGGTGATGAAGATTTTTTTTTTTTTTTTTTTTTACACTGATTGCTTTTTACACCCATAAAGGCTGTAAAAGCAATCATTTCTCCTTCTCTCTGGCTGCATTCTTGCAGCCATTGAGAAATACTGTGTGAGCTGTGATTGGTCACAGCTTGTCACATGGTACAAGGCTGTTGTGAATAGCCTTGTACCATGTGACCTCTGTGATCATTCACAGATTTCACACGTAGTAAGCAATGATGTCAGAAGTGACATCTTGCTTACTACTCTTCATGTGATCACTGATTGACCAATCAGTGATCACATGATCAGGACCTCACACAGAGGTCCCGTACAACGTTCAGTGTTCCACCGGAGGACACAGTGGGCACAAGCAGGGGGCGGGGAGGCACCCACAGTTGATCCAGAGGAAGGCAAAAAAACCCTCAGCAAAGCATGATCCAATTTGCTCCTGCAGGGGAAAAAAATCCCTTCCTGATACCCTGAGAGGCAATCAGATATTCCCTGGATCAACTTTACTTATAAATGTTAGTATCCAGTTATATTCTGTGTATCCAGGAAAGAATCCAGGCCTTTTTTAAAACAATCTACTGAGCTGGCCAGGACCATCTCTTCAGGGAGTCTATTCCACATTCTCACAGCTCTTTCTGTGAAGAAACCTTTCCGTGTTTGGAGATTAAATATCTTTTCCTCCAGATGTAAAGAGTGCCCCCTTGTCCTCTGTGATGACCTTAAAGTGAATAATGCTACACCGAGTTCATTATATGGACCACTGATGTATTTATACACGTTGATAATACCCCCCCCCTGTTAATCTCCTCTTCTCAAGAGAGAATAAATTCAAGTCCTTTAATATTTCCTCATAGCTGAGCTCCTCCATGCCTTTTATCTGTTTGGTTGCCCTTCTCTGCACTTTCTCTAGTTCTCCAAAATTCTTTTTGTGAATTGGTGCCCAAAACTTAACTGCATATTCCAGATGAGGTCTTACTAATGATTTGTACAGGGGTAAAATGACATCTCTATCTCTGGAGTCTATACCTCTTAATATAAGAGAGGAGTTTGCTCACTTTAGAAACCACAGCTTGGCATTGCATGCCATTATTCAGCTCCACCAGATCCTTCTCCACCATTGATTTCACCAGTTGTACCCCCCTAGTATATATGATGCATGCATATTGTTAGCCCCCAAGTGCATAACTTTACATTTCTCAACATTAAATCTCATTTGCCACATAGTTGCCCAATTGGACAGTGCATTGAAGTCAGCCTGTAAATTGGAGACATCCTACAAGGATGTGATTCCACTGCATAGCTTGGGGTCATCTGCAAACACTGAAATTGTATTTTTAACCATTATAAATGGCCTCCCCACCCCCTGCTTGTGCGCACTCCCTGGGATCAAGATCAAGAAGACATAGGGTGAGGGGTGAGAGTATAAACATGGGGAGGGGGATTGTAATTAAATTTGGATTTTTATACTGCATGTTGTTGGTTTAATAAGGATTTGTATAAAAAATGTAATAAAGATATAAAAAAATAAAAACAGAAGTCACTAGAATACACATCCCTGATACACTGGTTATCAGCAAGACTCTAAAACTTTGACATATTTCATAACTCATGAAATAATAATAGCACAGCCAGGATAAAGTCATATTCACCTCCATTAGTTATTGGGTAGCATCTTGAATCCAAATATCCCTATGCTAGGAGGTACCAGAGTGAATTAGGCCTCCACACACCTCATATCAGAAGTAAATATCTGAGACCTAATTTCATGCTGGACAATGATATGCAGGGTAGCCTGCAGATATTCAGTTATTCAGACTTGGTCATAAACAGATGATCTCCCAGCTACTACCCCTTACACCAGATGATTGGTCAGATGACACCTTACCAGCGCTCGCACACCATTAGCCAAGGAACACCTGTCAAGTTATGAGAGCCTATAACACCTTGATCTCCCTTGACTGAACTCTACTAAAATCAAATACTTTGCAAGTATTTACCTTTTTTCACCTCTTGTTTTGCTGTTGCTTGTTCTCATTGTTATTTTGTAATATCTTTGCTTTCGTAAATATGGTTTTTGCACCATTTTGACCTTTTCTTTATTAACCACCTTCCGCCTGCCCTATAGTACAACGACGGGCGCAAGGTGGTTCTCTCGTTCTGTCAGGACGTCATATGACGTCCTACCATTCTCACTGCGCATGCGCGGCTCAGGGACCGCGCAGCACACCTATCGCTGGTGTGCTGTGTCCCTCGGACACAGCGGATCACGGAAAGAGCCGAAGATGTCGGCTTGGTCATATGATCAGCTGTGTCCAATCACAGCTGATCACATGTAAACACGGAAATGCTGGTTATCGGCATTTCTCTCCTCTCGAGCTATCACGCTGACAGCTCAAGAGGAGAGGAGAGATGGTAATCGGCTTTCCGCGGAGGGGACATGTACACTGATCATCAGGGCACTGATGATCAGTGTGCCCTGATGATCAGTGTGGCCCCAGAAGTGCCACCTGTCAGTGTTCATCAGTGCCACGTGCCAGTGCCCATCAGTGCCACGTGCCAGTGCCCATCAGTGCCACATCAATGCCACATATCAGTGCCCATCTGAGCTGCCTTTCAATGTCACCCATCAGTGCCAGTCAGTGCCACCTATCAATGCCAATCAGTGCCACCTATCAGTGCTGCCAATCAGTGCCAGTCAGTGTCGCCTATCAGTGCTCATCAGTGCAAGTCAGTGCCGCCTATCAGTGCCAGTCAGTGCCGCCTATCAGTGCCAGTCAGTGCCGCCTATCAGTGCCTCCTATCAGTGCCATATATCAGTGTCATGTATCAGTGCTGCCTTTCAGTGCCCATCAGTGATGCCTTTCAATGCCCATCAGTGCAACCTACCAGTGCCTCCTCATCAGTGCCCATCAGTGCCACCTATCAGTGTCCATTAGTGCAGCCCAAAAATTTTCAGTGGATTTTGGTTTGTTAAAGAAAAAATAAAAATTCCAGAGGTGATTAAATACCACCAAAAGAAAGCTCTATCTGTCTCAAAAAAATGATAAAAATTTCATGTGGGTACAGTGTTGCATGACCGCACAATTGTCATTCAAAGTGTGACAGCACTGAAAGCTGGAAATTGGCCTGGGCAGGAAGGGGATATAAGTGCCTGTAGGCGAGGGGTTAAAGAAGAAATATATTTGTTTTTGTAAATATGTTATTTGCACTATTTTGACCTTTTCATTATTAAAGAAAAACTCCAGGATAGGCAAAAAAGTCACCCATTAGTACACCACCCTACACAAAACACTAAACAGTTAATACACTTGTGAAATGTCTTACCATTGAAGAGAAAAGTCTAATTGAATTTTTAGGAAGTCAACAATGTAATGAAAAAAAAAACAGCATCAGCTCTTCCAAGGAGGAAGTGTAACAGCAGGGATTACATCATATCCTCTCCTCTCTGGAAACTACACTTCTCATCCATCTGTGGGAATTGTAGTGAATGTGGACAGGTACACTAGGTCTGTACATGTTGAATGTGTATTTGCCCACTTTAACAGAAAGCACACCCACACATTCCCCACTTATATCCTCACGTGTTCACTTACCCTCCAGTCACAAGAGAATAGGAACTAACTGCCCAGACATTCTGTTTTTAATACCAGAATAAGTATGTTCACGTGCCCAGAATTAGATTGTTGATCCACTGTTTTCTGCTGGAATTAAATATTAGAATTCTTCTTCCTTTTTTTTTTTTGAACATTTCATTTTCATTGAAATTTCAAAGTTTTCATTACAAAATATAGAACAAATGTATATTGGTGTGTACACCAAGGTTAACAAGAAAGAAAAGACAAATCTCATTACATAGCAATTACAGTGATAATGTAGTAATCAAAGAATTGATAGTGGGCTACTCATAGTATAGTCTCATTATTTGTAAAGTGTTTATCAGCAAAGCAAAATCCATACATTTGAGACCAAAGAATAACTAGGGTATTATATACTGCATAGCATTCATTTTCAACCAACTCAGTTCACTAACAGGCAGTAAGATGTAAGGATATTTTAAATTAAAGATAGGTTTACATTTAGCATACCAGTATGTCCATGGCTTCCAACATTTAGTAAATTCAGATTGTTTCCCTGCTATAGATGCTAACATATGTTCATACTGTATATGTAATGAGTATGGAGTGTGTGTAGTGCCTCATTAACACTTGGGGCTGAGTAAGCTTTCCAATGGCACATTATAGTTAACTTGGCTGCTGCAAATACATGTATGGTAAATTATCTAAATATGGGAAGTATATCATCTATGCCTATGTTCAGTATAGCTAGAGATGGTGATAATGATAAGGGAATTTTTATAATTTGGTTAAAATACCAAAAATATATTATTCCAAGAGGAAGTCAAATAACTACAGTCCCAGAGGATATGGGGAAGTGTCCCACTTTGACTACATCCTCTCCAGCATTCTGGAGACTGTGACCTGTCAATTTTAGCTAATCTATATGGCGTTAAGTATCACCTCATAATGATTTTGCATGAAAGTTCCCAAAGATCAACACTTATTGGATGAGTGAGCATATCTTAAGGCAGTCCTCCATTGTGTTGCAGTATAAGTGGTATTAAAGTATCTTTCCCATGCCAGTATTGTATTAGTTTTAGTAAATGTAGATTTTTCTTCTATATAATTATAAAAGGTGTTGTGTTTCATGAGGTATGATCGGATGCGGAGATATGTAAAATATTCTTTTAGGCAGTTGATATTCTGTTTGTAATCCCCCCTCCACCAAACTTTACACTTGGCACAATGCAGTCAGGCAAGTACCATTCTCCTGGCAAACCCCAAACCCAGTGATAGAAGCGTGATTGGTCACCCCAAAGAACATGTCTCCACTGCTCTAGAGTCCAGTGGCGGCATGCTTTGCACCACTGCTGCATCCAACACTTTGCACCACTGCATCCAACGCTTTGCATTATACTTGGTGATGTACGGCTTGGATGCAGCTGCTTGACCATTGAAACCCATTCAATGAAGATTTCTATGCACTGTTGTCGTGCTAATCTGAAGGCCGTATGAAGTCTGGAGGTCTTTAGCTATTGACTTTGCAGACACTTGGAGACATTTGCACACTGTGCACTTCAATATGCGCTGACCCCGTTCTATCATTTTACGTGGTCTACCACTTTGTGGCTGAGTTGCTTTTGTTCCCAGTTGTGTCCACTTTGTTATAATACCACTAACAGGTGACCGTGGAATATTTAGTAGCAAGGAAATTTCACGGCTTGACTTATGCAGGCCATAGATGGGTCGAAAATCGGCCGATTTTTCGGCCGAAAATAAAATCGGCCGATTTTCGGATCGTTAGTGGGCTATTTGTTTGGCCGTTTTTCGGTATTTTGGCCGTTTTTTTTCATCGGTAAAGTTGGAAAAAAAATCGGCCGATTTTGCCGATCGGCCGATTTTCGCGGCAATAATGGGCAAATCGGCCGATTTTTTACCGATAAAAAAAATTTGCGCATGAGCAGTGACCTGCAAGAGGAAGACAAAAAGAAGAAAAAGAAGAAGATGAAGAAGAAGAGGATGAAGATGATGATGAAGAAGAGGATGGATGATGATGATGAAGAGGATGATGATGATGAAGAAGAAGAAGAAGAAGAAGAGGATGATGATGATGATGATGAAGAAAAAAAGAAGAAGAAGAGGATGATGAAGAAGAAGTAGAAGAAGAAGAGGATGATGATGATGAAGAAGTAGAAGAAGAAGAAGAAGAGGATGATGATGATGAAGAAGTAGAAGAAGAAGAAGAGGATGATGAAGAAGTAGAAGATGAAGAAGAAGAAGAGGATGATGATGAAGAAGTAGAAGAAGAAGAGGATGATGATGAAGAAGTAGAAGAAGATGAAGAAGAGGATGATGATGAAGAAGTAGAAGAAGAAGAGGATGATGATGATGACGAAGAAGAAGAGGATGATGATGAAGAAGTAGAAGAAGATGAAGAAAAGGATGATGATGAAGAAGAAGAAGAGGATGATGATGATGATGATGACAAAGAAGAAGAAGAAGAGGATGATGATGAAGAAGAAGAAGAAGAAGAGAAGAGGATGATGATGATGAAGAAGAAGAAGAGGATGATGATGAAGAAGAAGTAGAAGAAGAAGAAGACGATGAAGAAGAAGTATAAGATGAAGAAGAGGATGATGATGATGAAGAAGTAGAAGAGGATGATGATGACGAAGAAGAAGAAGAGGATGATGATGATGATGAAGAAGAAAAAGAAGAAGAAGAGGAGGAGGATGACGAAGAGGTAGAAGAAGAAGAAGGAGAAGAAGAGGATGATGATGATGAAGAAGTAGAAGAAGAAGAAGAAGAGGATGATGATGAAGAAGTAGAAGAAGATGAAGAAGAGGACGATGATGAAGAAGTAGAAGAAGAGGATGATGATGATGACAAAGAAGAAGAGGATGATGAAGAAAAAGAAGAAGAAGAAGAGGATGATGGGGAAGAAGAAGAAGAAGAGGATGATGATGATGAAGGAGAAGAAGAAGGATGAAAAATAAGAGGAATTCCAGTCCGGCAAAAAGTGTCTCTGCACAGAGCTCTGCTATTTCTTTGACAGTTCCTTGACATTTACAGCGGTTGCAACATTGTATCTATTTGTTTCCGAATAAAACCATCTGTATCCTAAATGGATACAAATAGATACATTGTTGCAACCTCTGTAAATGTCAAGGAACTGTCAAAGAACTGTCAAAGAAATAGCAGAGCTCTCTGCAGGGACACTTTTTTTTTTAAACGGGGATGAAAATCGGCCGATTTTTTTTTACCATTGGTGGTAACGTCGGCTGCTTGAACGACCGATTTTTCGTTTTTTAAAAGAAAAATCGGCCGTTTTTCTCCCCGTCTATGGCCTGCATTATGCAGGCCATAGATGGGTCGAAAATCGGCCGATTTTCGGCCAAAAATAAAATCGGCCGATTTTCGGATCGTTAGTGGGCGATTTGGTCGGCCGTTTTTTTTTTCGGTATTTTGGCCATTTTTTTTTCGGTAAAGTTGGAAAAAAATCGGCCGATTTTGCCGATCGGCCGATTTTCGCGGCAATTAGTGGGCAAATCGGCCGATTTTTTACCGATAAAAAATCTGCGCATGAGCAGTGACCTGCAAGAGGAAGACAAAAAGAAGAAAAAGAAGAAGAGGAAGACGATGAAGAAGAGGATGAAGAAGAAGAAGAGGAAGAAGAAGAGGATGAAGAAGAAGAGGATGAGGATGAGGAAGAAGAAGAGGATGAGGAAGAAGAAGAGGATGAGGATGAAGAAGAAGAAGAAGAAGAGGATGAGGATGAAGAAGAATAATAATAATAAGAAGAAGAGGATGAGGATGATGATGATGAAGAAGAAGAGGATGAGGATGAAGAAGAGGATGAGCATGAAGAAGAAGAAGAAGAGGGAGGATGAGGATGAAGAAGAGGATGATGATGAAGAAGAAGAAGAGGATGAGGATGATGATGAAGAAGAAGAATAGGATGAGGATGCAGAAGAAGAAGAGGATGAGGATGATGAAGAAGAAGAGGATGAGGATGAAGAAGAGGATGAGGATGAAGAAGAAGAAGAAGAAGAGAGATGAGGATGAAGAAGAGGATGAGGATGAAGAAGAAGAAGAAGAAGAAGAGGATGAGGATGAAGAAGAAGAAGAAGAAGAAGAAGAGGATGAGGATGAAGAAG